AAGACGTTAAACAGGCTCACCTCTGATGCACATGAGGCTCGCCGCCCTCCTGTGGTAATGCTCTTGATAAGTTTGCTGCAGCTAAATGCTGGCACGCTGATGCGAGGATTTTGCGGCATCTACTGGTAGATGTTAATCTCAGCTTGTAGCTTCAACTGTTTCGATTGCTTGCTGTACGTGGGCTGTTTTTGCGCTGGGAAGCTCTTCTTGCAGGAGCTCTTTTTTCCTACAGAATCGTAGGAAGCCTCGAAGGGCCTCCCCTGTAACACCAATTCACAGGAACTATCAAAGGCCGAAGTCTCCAACCTCCTCTCCAAGGAGTGATTCAGGTATTCAAAGCTACGGTCTGAAAACTAAGCTGTCACGAGTGTATCCGTATGAATTTTGTGAAACCTTTGCCTCATGTCTGGCAAGGTTTCTGCGTCGCGATTCATATGCATCGCATTTGTCCTTGCTTACGGACATCTTGCAGTACTCTGGGGACGAATGTCTCCACGGACTGTGTGAATTACTCGATCAGGAGTACTCAAATGCTTACAATTAATCCTCTCAAAGATTCCAAATTACTGCAAGATCCCAAAATACGATCACTTGTGACCAGTGAATTCTCTCTCGAGTAAAACTGAGTTGCCACTGCATCATTCCAAACCATCGCCGTCCCTTGATGCATTGGTGTCATGATATTACTCATCTTAGAATCTAAACTTTTACCGGGATCCGGATTTGAACAATGCACTCTATACAGAGGCACTTTTGGTTCAGTCAAAACACTCACCAGTGTGACTGATGGAGTTCTTGTTTTTTGGAACAAAAAACGTCCCAATCAGACCATTACCTGCTGCATGCCGCATCAGGTGTCTTGGGACAAAATGCACCCATCCACATTCTCGGGGGTGCTGTTTCAAATGACTGGTGGCAAAACCATCGCCGTCAGTCCGTCCTCCGCCAGACGTCATTATGTCTCATGCGGAAGTGTCGCCTGAAGACCCGTCAGGAACTCACAGATAAGGCCTTGTCCTCTTCTGTCAAGAGATCATATTCCTCACAAATATCAGATCTATTCTTTCTGGAGGGCCCGGTACCGTGTTCGATCCGATCTCACTCTTGACGTCACCTCCCTGATATCCACAGTTCGGTTAATGTATTCGCAGCTGCTTCCTATATGCAGCTTTATCTGTAAAAATGTAAACATATAAAGCAAGGAATGTATAAAAGGGGATTGATGCAGTCACTCGCACAAACTCGCTCCTTTTGTTCTCTGGCGGGAAATGCAGATCCGAGCTTCAGCAGCAGGAAGCTGCCGGTGAAAGGGTCTGCATGTTTTCCCCCTCCTCCGATGGGATCTAGGTGCATCAAAAGGCACCGACCTGCCATGGAGAGAGGGAATGCAGATGGACCGATCCTTTGAAGCCGTAAAAGGACAAATCGAATGCAGATGCAAGCAATCATGAAGCAATGTAAGAGTGCAATTGCCAGCACTCGCACCCAGAAAAAGGAAAGAGGTGGGTGGGACAAAAGTTTCTGCCCGCTATGCAGGCGAGCTGGCAGCTGCGAGCCTGCTTGCTGCAATGCACATGGAATGTCATGAGTGCAGCAAGCATGCAAAACATTACCAAACACTCGTGAGCAAGCACACATGCCGTTCGGTTAATGTATTCGCAGCTGCTTCCTATATGCAGCTTTATATGTAAAAAATGTATACATATAAAGCAAGGAATGTATAAAAGGGGATTGATGCAGTCACTCGCACAAACTCGCTCCTTTTGTTCTCTGGCGGGAAATGCAGATCCGAGCTTCAAGTAGCAAGCTGCCGGTGAAAGAGTCTGCATGTTTTCCCCCAAATGCAATCTGTACGGAAACCATCGACCCGCATTCAGTGAACATCATTGTTGCCGGGATCTTGAAGCGGTGCAGGTCGCTATGGAAGTCCGGGAGGGACGCACGCTTGCTCCTTCGTACAATAGATCTACGAAAAGCCTATAAGCAACTTCCTTTGTCGGAGCGTGCCTTGGGGGATGCTTAAATATGTGTGCTCAACCCGAATACGGGTGAGCCTCAGCTCTACCAGAGCCAGGTCTTACCTTTCGGCGCAAAGCCCTCTGTACAAGGCTTTTGTCGTGCATCAGGGGCGATCCCCTGCTCCACATCCACTGGTCCGTCTTCTTTGACGATTATGTGGTAGTGGCCTCGCCCGAGGAAAAGGGACACCTTGATCTTGTGTTGCGTCGTACTTTGCCTTGATCGGCTGGGAAACGTCCGATGAAAAGAACGCCGGGTTCAAAAGTGTGGCAAAAGCCTTAGGCGTAGAATTTAGCTTGGACGAGATCACTTAGGTCTGCTTAGGGTGCAAAACACAGAGGCTAGGAAGCTTATGTCCACCATCGAATTCATCGTGCAGCAAGGTGGAGCGCATGCCAAAGAGCTTGAGTGCCTGCGGAGCCGTCTTCAGTTTGCCGAGTCGCAGGTGTTTGGTCGGGGTGCGGCCCAACGCATGCGAGCTGCATCAAAGGCAATGAAGCTTTCAGGTTTTGTGGCTCTTAACGACTCCTTGACCGAGGCCTTGCTTTTCTTGAAAGATCGAGTTTTGCATGGGGAAGCAAGGATGATCAGCGCCTGTGATCGTCCCACCTTCCACTTGTTCACGGACGCTTGCTTCTTAGGTGGTACTCTGAGTCTGTCGACACGGACGTTTTAGAGCCATTAACAAGAAAGGCAAGAAAGGTCTGATCTACGAGTTGGAGACTTGTGCTGCAGTGCAGGGTGTGGTGCAACTTTGCAATTCCTTGAGTGACTGCAACCTCATTTGTTATTGCGACAATGAAGCCGCCCTCGCGGCTCTCATCAAGTGTGCTTCCGAATCCCCAGTGGTGGCATCGCAAGCTCAGCATGCTTGAGGATGAGAAAGGAATCAGTGTATGGTTCGAGAGAGTGGAGTCGTCTGCGAACCCGCCGACGATCCTTTCACGCTTTGTGCTTGACAAGCTCCCCACTAGTTTCAGAGTCCGTTGGATGCCAGGCGAAGAGCTGTTGTTCTAGCGGCATCTGATCTTGAATGGGGAGTGGCATCATCTGCCCTTCACTTGCAGGATGTTTTCACTTGCGGGAAACGTGCCGGAAATCTCGATGCAGGATACTCTCAGCTTTGCCATTTTTCTGAATATCGGCCACGAATGTGGAGCCGGAATCGTTACCTGTCTGCACCCCTCGCTCTAAAAAAGAAACAGTGCAGTGCGAGTGTGTCCATGTGCTTCATGCTCTGTTTGTGCGCTTGGATTGAAAACATAACCAAATAAGAACAAACTCTTCCGAAGGGGGATGTTTTCTTATTTGATTGTTTTCATGTTTGGAAAAATTGTTTACAATTTTTCATGCGCACTTTTTTTTTCATGCCTTGCTGGAGTATGTCGCATGACTCTTGATTTCTCACGAGTGCCTGACCATGCTTGTCTTGGTACTCGCAGTTTTGCTTGCAGGCGTGAGAAAATTTTTTGTCCCGCCCACCCGCCCTTCTGGTGTGGGGAGTGGCATCATCTGCCCTTCACTTGCAGGATGTTTTCACTTGCGGGAACGTGCCGGAAATCTCGATGCAGGATACTCTCAGCTTTGCCATTTTCTGAATATCGGCCACGAATATGGAGCCGGAATCGTTACCAGTCTGCACCCCTCGCTCTAAAAAGAAACAGTGCAGTGCGAGTGTTTCTGTCCGTGAGTGCAGTTGTGATGCAGTCATGTCCATGTGCTTCATGCTCTGTTTGTGCGCTTGGATTGAAAACATAACCAAATAAAAAAATTTCTGTGTTGCTTCAAAAGCAGAAGATGTGATGTTTTTGCTCTTGCCACACTTTGTAAACTTATTGATTTTGTCCGCAATGCACTTGGCAGCTCGGTGGACCTCAAAATTTTGCACTTACGAGAACAAGTCTGCTAGAAATGCTTGTTCGTGCATGAAAGCAGTTCTCTTGTTGGCAAAACATTGTGAAAATGTAGGAGGTTAGTCTATCAGCAGTGCAACCCGTGAACAGGATGAGCCACCGCATTGCAAGCGGATTCGAGCTTTGGTTTTTTAACCAGCAGACCAAGCATTGATGCCCGATTCACTGGTGAATTGTCTGTATATTGGCAACGCATCCACCGTCTCACCTGCATCATTTGTCTTCTTCAGTTCCTTTCAGCTTTCAAGGTTCTATCATTTGAGACTATTTATTCTTTCGAAACATCAGAAAACTCATCCAGGTTGCAACTTGCGAGGCAATTTGCCCTGGAAGTTTCGGCAACAAAAAACCCCTTCCGGGACAACGGAGGCGACAGAGATGTGCGAAGATGGACACATCAAAGTTCCGGCTATGCAGTCGGTTCTTTTAGTTTTTTTGCTCCGGACCACTGAAGCTCCACGCCCCGGTAGATCATGTCCACGAGCAAACCTGAAGCTCAGCTAGAATGGCTAGACCAGGGCACATCAGTTCAGTCTTGCGCAGTGCCTGGCGTTAGGAACACAGGAAATCCGGCAAATTCTTCGATACTGCATCCGCACGAAACAACCGGCTCATGTCTCGTTACAGGTCGGATCACGGCTCTCAACGGGTCACGGTTTCGGGTGGAGCGATGAGCCTGAAACCTAAAATTCATGACTATCGGTACAACCAGTTGTCGCGATGATCCTCGTAGGTGTAATGCAAAAACTTGTCAAACATGGTTAGTGTTACGGCATCGCCTGGCACGGGCCGGGCTGTTGTTTTGCGCGGTTTCATGTGGCAATGAGGCACCATCTGCCCTTAAGCCATGATTGCAAGCCATCCCAAGCATGCACTCGAATCGGCGTTTGTTCCAAGCGTAGGCGGCAGTGCTGAGGTTAACAGCAACATGGTTTTGCATGGATCGCAGGCGGAAAGCAGTTTGCAGAAGTCGGGTACAAGCAGGAAGCAAGCTTCTGAATACTGTGCATTGCATTTCAGTATGTATCATATGCAAGGTTCCAGCACACATCCGGCGTTTGCAGGGACATGGCGGATTCGGACTTGGAAGAGGACGTGCACGCAGTTGATAAGCGTGAAAGGCACCGGCAATCCGTGACAGCAACCGCCTGGGCATCTCTGTCTTTGGTCACTGGGGCAGTCCTGCTATGGGCGTCGATGGCAGGTTCGAAATCAGAAGCCATCTATTTGATGGACAAAGTGGTTCGTTTCGACACTGCTGGCCCGTTCGGAGAAGATCTTGCAGGGGCTTCTCACGTGTTGACGACATTGATGCTTGTACGTATCCTGCTCTTCGTCGGTTTGGCAGTCGTGGTGACCAGCCTAATTGGAATAACAGCCAGCACTGGAAAACACAAATGCCTTGCTGCGACCTACGGTTCCTGCTCCCTGGCTTGCGCCGGTGTGATGCTCGTCCTGGCCATGCAAGTGATGCAACGAATTTACGTGGTCGAACCTTTGGTGCACAGACAGGCACTTGCAGCCGCATTTGTGGGCATGTTATGATTGCTTTTACAATCTTTTAACTCCAGGCAGTTGCAAGCTAAATCTCTGACGCAGGTCCCGATACCTAGTAGAGCCTGAGCATCTCCCCTCCCAAACCAGGTAGAGCACCTTTGCAATGAGAGTATTTACCTCCAGCCCGTGCCTCAGGGGACGAAAGTGCCTCGCTGCAGTGTTATACACCAAATATAGCATGTCAGAAATGATGACATCGATGACTTACCATGAGTATACTATAGGATAGTAAAATCTCTTGGTTATAGTATAGTATATTATCGGATAGTACTAGTTTCAGAAACTACGCTTTCGAGGCTGGGCCATGCCTTGGACTGCTCTTGGGCATCTGGGATCGACGTAGGCGTCCATCGCCCAGTGGGAAGGAGGCAACTAAGTGCAAGACGAGGCAATTCAGTCTTTGTTCGTCTTCGTTCCTTCTCTGAACTCCAGAGCGACGTGTGGTCGCACGGAACTCTACCAGTTTGGAGCCACCTGTGCCTTGCTTCACTAGGGCACTAGGGGTGCGCCTGACAGCAACAGAGTTTCTTGAGCCACCGATCGTCCATCTGCAGCAAACATAATCGCCACTCATTTGCACGGCTCGGTCGACATGCATTTATGGACCATGCTGCAGCACAGGACATATGCAAGACTGCGTGACCAGGATGACTGCAGACCATCCTCAAATGCAGGCCTTCAGTGCACAGTAATGTTGGAATCGAAGAGTCTCAGCTTTCTCTCCCAACACAGAGCATCCAAATTTCCAAAACTGAATTGAATGCTTTTAAGGTTGACGAGTGTGGTGCTGCCTGCCGCTGGAAGATTAGCCTTCTTCAGGGTGTGCAGGCAGCGACTCTCCTTCAGGAAAAGCGGCTGCAACTTGCAAGATTTTGGACGAGACCTGATAGATCTTCTTGCTGATACGCTCACTGCTCCTTCAACGTCTGCTGGCTGCTCCGGTCTCCTTTGGCGCATGGTAGCTTTTTGACCACGAAGACTACATCACCCTGGTCAGCGTGGCCATTTTTCGGACAACTGTTTTTCCATAGTTAGCGGCAGTTACCGTATTTATGTGTCACCACGTCAACAGCCCCTCGCAACGTGACTAGGCACGTTGAGTGCCAGGCTGTAGTTTCTGTGAAACACATGTTTGTTTCTAAGTGCTAGCACCAGGAGTAGGATGATGACGATGATGAGGATGAGGATGATGATCACGATGATAATGATATGATGGTCATCGTCATCATCACCATCACCATAGGACATTTCCTGCACGACTTGCTGTCGAGCTTTCCGGTCATGCAGGTGCGGAAATTGTTTTCTTTCTTGCGAATATTGCTATGCACAGAGGCATTGGTACCCCAGTCGGTGTTATGTCCTTTTCAATGTTGATATGTGCCCGAAGACTCCAACTATCGTTTCATGCACGGGGTTCAGTTCGTCGGCTTCGCTTGAAAGCTTTCAGGAAACGATCCCCCGAAGGCACCTGGAACCCCAAACCCAAACCGGCCCTAACCTAAACCCTCTCAACCCTCTTCACCCTCGGCTCGTGACAGGGATGTCGGCTCATGCCCCAGCTGTGCGAGTCGTTCTTCTACGAGGCAGCAAAACTGCTTGGGGCACGAGGGTCGCTTTGAGTGTCCCGTAGGGACTGCGTGACGTTCATCATAAGGGTGCCAGAAGCGGTCAGGAAGTATCTCTAAGTATGAGAGGCGCTTGCTGCAGGTTGTGTCATCTGCATTCATACCGTTTCCCGGCCGTGTGCGGATCTGCAGAGTACAGAACCCTCGGCTGCGTATCAAAGCAGGGTTTTAGGGCAATCCGAGAACCGGCAACGGGTTTGGCCGACAGGAGCTGGCCAGCCAGAACTGCTCAGCACTCATCAGCCCAGCTCTGAGTAAGGACTGAGCTTTTTTGCAAGCCTGTACTGTCTGTAGGTTTTTATGATCTTTTATGGCTGAAGCGGTCTCCCCGTGCGTGCACCTGCACTTGCTTGTCTCTCCTTTGCTCGCAAATGGGTACAAGCTGCAGCACAAGCATGGTCATGGTGGCGGTGGCATGGTGACGATGCCGATGATGCTGCTGGTGATGCTGAGTGATGTTGTTGATGATGTCAAGATAAAAAATTCAAACCTCTACACTCGTGCTCTGCTTAAAACCGCTGATATTCCGCGTGGGCTCCCATCGCACTTAAATCAAGTTTTTTGTGCTGTCACTTTTGAAAAAGTTAAGTTTTCTTCTTCCCCGTCGTGCATGATTCTACGCCCTCTTTCCTCATTGTATGCTTTGCCCATCAGCTTTGACGGTGTTTCTGAGAGTGTTTCTGAGAAACGAGCCAGACGTGACAAGCCCTGAACAAAGCCAGCGTGTACACTGGCTGAGGGTTCAGAGCATTGCCCTTCGCGTTCCTTGAGTATTCGTACTCTGAACGTTCCTTCCGGGTTGCTTGCATGCTCTCTTCTAGGATTGTCTGCAGGGTTCCTTTCAGGGTTGCTGCCCGGGTTCCTGTCAGGCCTTCTTTCAGAACCCGAGAGTAGACCGGAGGCACCGCGGCCTCCGGCATCGAGCCGGTCTTCGTAGCGTCCCAGTCCAGCAGTGCCTGCAGGTCAGGTGGGTGTCATCCTGTGAGTTTTCACAGTTTCGATTCTAGTATATATTTGGCATACTCTGGTGGATTGTAGTAGATCGTAGTAGATGATTAGGGGCAGGGGTTTCAAGGTCGTCGGCACTGCAGGGATGTTCCTTTGGGGGTTTCTACCCCAGTGCCGCCCCCAAGGCCGACAAATGAAGGCTAAACTAAACACTCCAACACCTCGTGGTGTTGGTTGCAGGAAGACCATCGGGATGCCCCAAGCAGCAGAGATCTTGTGGGGAGTCCTGGTTTGTTTAAGGCGCCCATGTGCGCTTGTATAGGTCGTAAGGTCTACCATCCGGCGTCTCGTGTTTTCGGGCACATGGAATGTTAAAGAAAGCTACAGTGCGGTTTTGTATTTCATAGCATGGCGGTATCAGAATCCTCTTAGCCTCGCCCTTTCTTCGTTGCTGCCTTGCTCGAACAGCTCCGGGAGCTCTTGAGCTGAAGTGGGAAGTGTCAGGCTTTCCCCCGGACTTCGCTTGGCAGCGCGATGGGATGCAACTCGTCCTCCCGGGTGTGCGTCGTCACCTTCGGCGAGCTGGACAAGGGCCAGGGCATGAGCGGGAGGAGCGATTGCCCGGCGAGACGTGAAGCCAGCAAGACTTGCACCAAAAAGCGGCCCTCATTGCCGCAGGTGGCCACACAACAGCTGGACTCCATCCTGCCTCATGCCCTTGACTGCAAGGAAGCCGGGCCAAGAGAGGCGGACTTGAAGGATTCGGAGGCGTGCGAAGAGTGCGGAGTGGTGGAGGTCAAGGTCCCGGAGCACCTCCGAAACATCCTCAAGAAGGAGCGGGTCCAGGCGGAGTTCGTGGAGCCATCAGCAGTCGAGAGCTCATGGAACTTTCAGCAGGCCGAGGATCGGCCCGCGGGTCTCCTGGGTCCACCGGATCGTGAGATGCATCTTGAGCATTTGGAGAAGCTTCACAGGTTCTTCAGAACGAGCTGCAAGGTGCCAGGCTGGCTCCGGCTAGAGGTCGATGACAAGAGGAGGCGGGACGGCATGGAGCCGGGCCCCATGCAGAGATACACCAATGGCCGTGCTAGCAAAAAAGCACTGAAAGGTCTCAGTCTAGTTTAAGTTGACGAGAAACTCGTCGACACAGGTCCACGTCCCAATACATATGAACTGCTTTTTTTGCATCTTTCCCAGAAACTTTTCTGAACTGATCTTTTTGAGCATTCTGCAACTAGCAACGAAGAGCGACTCGGAGGCTTTCAAAAGCCGCAAGGCCTTAGGCCTCGCGTCGTGCCGCGTTTGCAGAATGCCTCGAAGAACCGCACGTGATCAGAGAAGCTGTCCGGTCGTGCAGAGCACTTGCAGAACCTTAAAGTAGCAAGTACTGGATGTTCTGAATGATACTGGCACTTCCAAAATCACGGTGTTGTTTCGGGACATCTCTAGCCTGCACGCAGCATTTAAGAAACCGGCATGAACAGACTATGCCGATCACATTCACTGGACTTCATCATGGCTCAGACGAGTGCGTGGCTTCCTGGCTTCAGGTGGGAAGCTCCGCTGCAATATATTCCTTCCATACATTTCCTCCTTCCCCTCTTGCCGGAGCATTTTCTTGCTCTGCACTTCTTGTGTTCGGGCTTCCGCCGGCGGTGCGGCTGGAAATGAATCTTTGTGGCACATGGTTTCTTCTGTCTAGACGACTTGAGCTTGGCTTGTTTCTGCCTGCTTTGGGTCGCACCGCACCCCAACGTGAATTGTCTGCCACGGCAGTCATCTGGAGCTGAAACTGATGCAGCAGGCTTGGTTCCAGCGATATATCGGCTCAACCCGGTCACTCTGATGCTTCCTTACCCAATTACACCAGCCTTCCCAACATTCTTGTCCGAAGCTTCTTGCATCGTTATGGTGACCAACGATGAATACGGATGCCCAGCGAACAGAGTTTCCGTGGGGGCATGCAAAGTTTGCTGCAACATCGATTGCCCATGTGTACCAGTGTAAAGTGTAATGTAGATCACGGCACGAAGGTTCGACTAGACAGTAAGCGTTTCGTGGGCAATCTTGAGGAACTGCAGCTCTCACTCGACTTGTAGCTACCACCGATGGGACCCATATGCAGCGCTTGAGCAGCAAAACGTGTGCCGTCTGAAGTTGCTGATGCAGCTGCGACCTTGAAGGGACCATCTGCAGTACTGCATCACCCTCAACAGACCAGTAGCCGGGTTCCGCCTTCCGAGCCTTGCGCTGTCTGCAAGTGGAGAATCGTTTCAAGCTTCGGTTCTGGGAGATGTTCTCGGTGGCATCTTTGACTCCTGGTCGCATGGCCAGGGATTCCTGTGACGCGGACATCAAGTGCAAAGAGTTTTCTCACAGTGAAGCAACTGCGGCGAGGAACTGAGACCACAGAATGCCATAGTACTGGTAGTTCGAAGAGTATTCCTTCTGTGAGGCGATGGATATTTCTGGTAGCGGGTCTGGTTGAACTTGGAGCATGTTGAAAACCCATGACGCCACATTCACAACACCTGTTTCTGGATGTGGTTTCTCTCGAATCTGTCGCTTTGCAGGGTCTTTTCGCGCTGATGGCATGACCGCTGTTTGCAGATGCACACACTACCTGAAGTTTGCACTTTAAGCCCTAAGCCCTAAGCCGTACTTCCAGAGGCACTTACTTGGTATTGCTCCATAGTTGTGGGGTGCCGATCCTGTGGGCACTCCTGGCTCCGACGGACTTTAAGGCATGCTGCTCGGACTCAACTTTCGGTGCCAGAGCAAAGGAGGACGACTCAGTGCAGTATAATCAGTAGTAGTAGGAGTCGCCCAAACCAAATTCCCCCAATCTCGATGCCCCTCAACCCTGAACCCCCTCGAGGCACGTCCGGAAGTGTGCATGCTCTACAGTGGTCTAGCCGGGGCCTCTGCCCGGCAGCGGGCTTCTGGCCTTTAGGATGTATGATTGCATGAAGGCTGGGTGTTTCACGGGCAGATGAGCGGACGATTCCTGCGTGGCAGGGAGGATCGCGACGTAGCGGAGGTACAGGGAAAAGGCTAGTTTGGATTCTGGAGCCTCGAATTATTGAGTTCTCGGCATGCCCACTTTCTTGCACACCTCGGTTTGCACTGCTGTCGCAACACAACGCCTGCAGGTTCCGGGGTCAGGGCTTCAAGCGCACTTTAAGCCTGCAGGTGCACAGACATCGCTCCAGTGGGAGCTGTTACTCTAAGGCGGTTTATGAGCTGCAAGCCTAAGAAGACAAGTCGTGCCTGAATTACCTGCAGCCCTGAACCCCCTGAAGCTTGAACCCGAAACTGCACACCCCAAACCGTTCGAAAATCATCAGATTCGAGTCAGAGGAGGCCCCATGTTCTGAGCTCTGAGTTCGCATTTCGGGCCCCTGGAGGACTCTTGGGCTTTGGCGTGCTCGAAACTCGAAACCGAAGGATTCGATGCAAGCGTCTTCCCAGGTCGCTCTCCACAAGCCGCCCGCCTGGTCACAGCTGGCACCGGCGCAGGCTGAGTCGAAGGGTTTGTGTTTTGGGTGGCAGCGGTTCGTGGCTCTAAGTGTTTAGGGTTTAGGGGTTGGCATTCGTTGGATCAGGGATTGGGACGACGACGACGACGACTACTACTACTACTGCTACTGCGACTGCTACTGCTACTACTCCTACTGCTGCTACTACTACTACTACTACTACTACTACTACAACTACTACTACTACTACTACAACTACTACTACTACTACCACCACTACTGCTACTGCTACTGCTACTGCTACTGCTACTGCTACTGCTACTGCTACTGCTACTGCTACTGCTACTGCTACTGCTACTGCTACTGCTACTGCTACTGCTACTGCTACTGCTACTGCTACTGCTACTGCTACTGCTACTGCTACTGCTACTGCTACTGCTACTGCTACTGCTACTGCTACTGCTACTGCTACTGCTACTGCTACTGCTACTGCTACTGCTACTGCTACTGCTACTGCTACTGCTACTGCTACTGCTACTGCTACTACTGCTACTACTGCTACTACTGCTGCCGCTGATATTGCAATGTTAATCTTATTGTGTCTGTTGCTTTTTGCAACTTGCCACTGTGGTTTCGAGCGTCTCTTGCTTTCCCGGGTGCTTTCGGTTGTCTCCCTGGTGCTTACTAGGGAATGGGGGAATGGATATTGGGGACTATTATTGGGGATTACTTTCGGGACTCTATAGGGATCCCTTCCCCAACCCCTACCAAGCACTAGACAGTTGTCTAAACCCTAAACCCTAAACCGGCTGCAGGTGCAATCGTACCTGGGCGAGGGCAAGACAGAGTGCTGGAGGCTCTTCGCGCAAGTTGAAGAGACTTCAATGACCCTTAGGGGGGTAGGGGGTAGGGGGTAGGGGGGGCCTTACCACACTGAAAATCCCTATGACTTTAGGGCTTAGGGAAGTTTCAGATTTGTGGGTTTTAGGTTTGGGTGACCTTTGCAACATCAATCCAGGTCTCTGCTTGGATCTCGGAAGATCATTGCCCGGGGTTTCCTCATGTTGCTCGGTGTCCAGGGCGCTGGGAAACATGAAATCCGAAATCGCGATGCGGAATGACTCGCAGCTGGCACATGTCTTCAAAATTCCACTAGCCGTGAGCCGGAACCTATCACCCCCTCGGTCTATAACAACCAACCTCAAGCTGTTGCCCCAAGCCCTGAGGCCTAGCCAGAGCTCCACCGCAAGCCCGGCAACCCCTGAAGCTCTCTGCCCAAGCGCACAAAGTGACACAGCCGAAACTGTGTTCAGGCGGACAGATCCCACCGTCCTGAGCAGGTGCCATGCCCAAGCGCCGGCGAGTGGTCGTTTGAGGGTTCATGAACACCAAGGTCGATGCGAAGAGTAGAGGTAGGGCGCTGTGGGCGGTGGGATAGTCTAGGGCCTGGCCGAGGTTCCAGAGCCAGAACACCAGGATCGCGGCTTGTACCGTCGTCCTGGCTGTGGTGCTTCTGGTGCGCCTTTAAAGAGGGGCCCCGGGAGCAAGCCTGTGCTGCAAGGTCTTGGAAGTGATAGGCGATGGTTGCATGGCGGAGACTTCCGGGATAGCAATAGGAAGAACGAGGCTCACAGTCCTCTGAGTGCGAATTCCCAAACCGCGAACACTGGTTGGGACTTTCAGAGGGTGTTCGATTTGGAGCCTCGATGCTGAAGCCCGATGCTGGCCCGACACCGTTGTGATGCTTTCATGTGCACCGCCCCGATTCTGATCTCGGTCGTTTTGGCTCGAGATGGACATCTGATAGCGGAATCCACTTCGGGCCGGGGACTCGGTGCTGGTTGCCCTCTGCCCGACACAATCCCACAGCCCAAGAACTTTACACCCAACCCCAGCTGGACGTGCATGTCACTGCTGAAGCGACACCTCTTCAGAGGGATGCCTGCATCCTGAAGAACGAAGTGCAGCTTTCAAGTAGCGTCATTGCAGACCTTCTTGCAATTTGACAGCTTTCCATGCATACGATTCGGCAAGGCAATTTGGGGTGTCCAGACTGACGTAGGGTTCAGAGAGGTTGGAAACCTCCTCTTGCTATGCCGTTCGGAAGTTTGTCATTTTTCCGTCTCAGATGAGGACTGCTCATGGGCAGCCCGCCCTTTTGGCCAAGATGATGCTGAAAGCCGGGCAGAGCCCTCGGCAGCCAGCTCTGCTTGCGTTTTGAGTCGAGGATTGAGTGTGACATGTGACACCAGCTAATCAAGCACCTGCGCAAGCCGTCACATACGGACAATGACGTTTCTCATGGTTTCATTGCAAGTCCACTCACAGTAGTCACGGTTGTAGAGATGACACATGTACGGGTGTTGCATCCTTGACCAACATCACTCTTGCTACCTTAGCCGTATATTACTTCCACAGTCGCATTGTGCAGTGTTAAAACCAAGACAAATATGCGCTTTGAGGATCGTAGCTGCAACTTTGCGGTTTCCATCACCAATCTTCCACGATCACTATCATTCTGCTCCGTATCAAGCTAGAGATGTTCAGAGTCAGTGACAGTGCTGACGGTCTGCAGACTCACCTTGTGTGTGCTGCTGTGACAGTGGCCAGAACTGAGTATTAAAGTCGTGCATGTGGTAGTCGTGCGTGGTCCTGCGCTTTTCTTTTTGTCCAGGTGCTGCGTGGCGGCATTAGCCGCTCTTACTGGACGTGCTGCGCAGGCCATGGACTCGAAGTTCATGATGTTCATGACTCGCGAGTGCCGGGTTGAGGTGTGCCGATTGTTCTTATGGGAGTTTCTCGTGGTATCAAGAGACCAAGAACAAAGTCTGAGCCTAAGCCCAAGAAGCCTGCCTGTAAACTCTGGATGGAGGCCTACAAAGGCAAAGACCACCTGTATTCCTGGATCCGACGCCCGAATGTCCTTGCATGACAGCCTAGCCTTCGGTGCAAACCCATCAATCCCTACTTGCCGAAGCCCTCTTCGAAAATCTCGACCTGTCCATGGCACTTTGTTAAACGCCTCTGTCTCTAAGCAGGCTGAACGCAACCAGCATTTTGAAACACGAAGGAAGCCTATCAAGCTTCTCTAAGCATCAACGCATACACCTTCTACGCCTAAGCCCCATACTTCCATACTTTGAGCAAGAACCCCAACCAAGAACCCAAGCCCCGAGCTTCAACCTCCCGCAATGAGGTTCCCTCAGAAGTCCTTGCGAAAAGAGTCTCCACAAGAAAGACAGGAAAGGGATCCTGCACCAGACGCCAGGAACCCCGAAGCCAGGAAACCTTAGCCTTAGATTCAGACCTCTGACTCTAAAGGCCCCCACCTCAACTCCACAGGCTGAACCCTTCATCCTGCCCCGCAGCCCTCATAAGAGACATCCTAAACCCTAAACCCCGAAAGCCGAACCCACAAACCCCAAAGCCCCAGTCCCGAAACCCAGCTCTTTCCTTTGTGAAGGCTTTACCCGAGTGCCGTGCGGAGGCCGACGACGCGGTGTTTTACAAGGGTGCTTTATGGATTCCTTGAAGGGTTTTATGACGTTCTATACGGGCTCAAGAAGGCTATGGCCTAAATTCCCAGAGGTTTCGTTTTAAAAACAAATAAAGACAATGATCCGTTTAATTCGTAATCTTTACATCAACCCTTGCCCTTATGGTAACCCTTGAAAAGGCCGTGAAAGGAAACCTCAGAGGCACCCTTAAGAGAGGAACCGAAACAAAAAAACCCCTACCGAGCTCCAACTGCGCCTAAACATTCACGACCACCAAACCCGTAAGCTCCATATGGGGATTAAGAAGAAGGGCGTGTGGTACGTAGTTATTGATTGTTAAGTGTCTCAAATAAGGACCCCTGAGTTCAACCCCCCTTAACCCCAAACTCCGACCCCAAATCCCCCTCCCCCAACAAAAAGCCAGCCGAGAACTCCACCTTTCGAGGCAGACACCGCCGCCTCCAGCCTCATACAAGTCAGAAGCAGGCTGAATGATGCGACCTGGCCCAGTGGGTAATGATCAATATACGGTCATACCGTAAGATTCCCCACAATCCTATTGTAATTGTGAAGGCCCCTCTATTGGTTTATTTGTGGTGCATCAGGGTTGGGTGAATGGATGCTGGCGGCAATCGGGGGTACCTCGCCTGGCAAATGCATCGTGAGCGATGAAGCTCCAGGACAGTAAAGGTTACCCCTACTGTGAGACCCGCACCCCTGAACCCTAAACCCTAAACCCTGAACCCGAACCCTGAACCCTGAACTTTTAAACTGAGTCCAAAGCCAACTGGACCTGCAAACTCATCCGGAGATAGAGCAATTGCACTTAAAAACACCCTGGTCCCTGATCGGCAGTTGTCCGCCCGAGGCTTCGGCGCTTATACCACAACCGCAGTCCCTGACCAGGACGGCCCTTCCGTGTGAAGAAATAATAATACTTTAATAAATACTCTAACAATACTCCAATAATATTTGGGGTATTCTACTGGTATATACTTTAGTAGTACTATAGTGGGTCTAACAGTACTAGAATAATACATGTTTCTACCGTCTCGAAGTTGCACTTTGTGCGGAGGGTGTGCGTTTCGAAGGCGACGCGGACTCCCTGTGCTGTCCTACTCTAGGGGTTGATGATTTCAGTTTTGGGTTTCGAAGCCGAAGTGTCTTCATCCACGCGTTGCCATTCTCCATCAGCTTCGTGTAGTTCCACGAGACCACAGGCAGGAGGTATTTCTTGGACAGATTCTAGATTCTAGAGCAAGTGAGGTTGCTTGATTCCAGGTCCAAGCCCCTGAAACTTGACGTTTGATCTGGAGTGTCAAGACTTCCCCCAACCCCGAAGCCCGAAACCCCAAAACCCTAAACCCGACACCCCCGAAACTGCAAGCCCTAAGCCGTGATCCCGATGCTCTGCAGGAGGCAGGGCCAGCTTGAGGCGGGACGCAGGGGTTAGAACCGGTTCCTGATCTGATCTGAAGCTGTCAGTTTACAATGACTGTATTCCACGTTCACTCAACCTCAAACCCAGACAAACCCCAGATTGGGTGGTTGCCAAAATGAGGCTCCCTTTTTGGGTCCCTATTATGGTACGGCACCTAATATTTAGGGTACCCAAAAAGGGGCCATAATGTTGACAACCACCCAGATACTGAATTCCATTATAGGATGCTGGGCAGCTGGCTTGGCTACTCCATCGTGAGACTGTTGGAGGGGTACCACGACTGCTGCAAATGGAGCTGGGTCGCTTCTACGACAATGACAGCAAAGCTCTTAGTGTAGTGATAAAGACTTAAAGACTTAAAGAGGAGGATGAGGATCATGATTCAGACTGAAATCCACTCTCACCGTTCCAGGATATATGGATGAAAGAGATATGTTAGCAAAAGGCCTTGCTGTCAGAAGAGATACAAGACCACGCCACTCATCGCAGAGTTTGCGGTTTGGTGCATCCTTGAAAGGTGCGAAAGCTGACAGCAGATCTGCCCAGCGTCGCGCTGAGGCCTGTGCAGGGGCGTTTCGTGCTACCACTACTGCCGCTGTTTCCAGCGCTGTTCTCATGATTTCAGTGACAGTGAGATTGCTGCATGAATGTAATTGTCATTGAAGCTGCTATTTGTGTTTCTGCTGGATGTTTTTTTTGGGTGGCTGCTTGCGGCTATTGCAACGTTGGTGACAGCAATGACGATGAGAGCGGCGGTGTTAGTTAGTGATGACGATGATGATGATGATGACGGTGATCATGGTGATGGTGACCATAATCATGACATCAACGGTGGTGGGCATGCTCGGTGTCCTCTGTCGTCGTCGTGGTCGCAAAAAGCTTGAAACCTGAGTCCTGAAGCGTATGCTCCGACCCACCACCGCAGTAGGCCTAGGACTGATCCTTCGGGCAGGCAGACGCTGGACGACTTCGTCGGCTCCATGATAGACAGCGACGCTTGGCGGGAGTGCCTGTTAGCGTGGTTCTGAACTTCTTTGCCTTCGAGGTGTTAACGGTTTGCTACGACAGGACTACGAAGGACCGTGAGGAGATCCCCCAACATCCCCCAACCCAGAGTGAGGTAGGTAGTATCTTGAGCGATGTTCGCTACCCTTGAGACCGCAAAGGGCAGAGCTCTCCATTCCAAGAATCGGTTCAGTGGGGTGTCCAATACAGTAAACCCTGACGACCCAAACAAGATGTTGCGGGCCCTTACTGGTGACGATGGAATGGCAGGATCCCAGCTTGGTTTCTGGAGGTAAGTCCTAAACCCTGAACCCCAAACCGGGGCTGCGGGGGGTGCGGGGGGCCCGGCCCCAGGCCTCCTCCGAGCCCGGAGCCTCGGAAGCGCCGCTGCTCTCGGCGCGGCTGGCCGACGTGGGTCTGGGGGCAGAGGCGCTTATAGATGTAGATGTATATGTACATGTATATGTATGTGTATATAAGAATGTATATGTATATATGTATATATATATATATATGCATACATATACATTGTTTTAGATAGGGTTTGGTTAGGGTCTGGTTTCGGTTTATTTTGAGTCTAGGTTGAGGGTTGATGGGTTAAGCAGGGTTAAGGGCTAAGGGTCTAGGATTTCAGTTTTAGGATTTGTCTTTTTTCGGGATCCGGAAGTGTGTTTTGAGGCTTTGGTAAAGGGTTCATAAGGTCTTCCGAGACTATTTTGTATGGAAATAGAGATATACAACATGTACATACTAATAACGATACATAGATGAAAAATGCACAAACAAATAAGTACACAGCTATGTATACACACATATATATATATATATATATATACGGGTACCCCCCTATATGGGGTCCCCTGGGTTTTTGCACACCCAAACCACTAAACCATTAAACCATTAAACCATTCCTTTTGCTCCATGCCACTAAACCAATAAACCATTAAACCATTAAACCAATCCTTTCCCCCAATGGACCCAAACCAATAAACCATTAAACCATTAAACCAATCATTTCCCCCAATGGACCCAAACCACTAAACCATTAAACCATTAAACCAATCATTTTCCCCTATAGAGAGAGACACATCCCTGTATGGGCCGAAAGCATTGGTTTAATGGTTTAATGGTTTAATGGTTTAGTGGTTTAGTGGTCTAGTGGTATGGAGCAAACGGATTGGTTTAATGGTTTAATGGTTTAGTGGTTTAGTGGTATGGAGCAAACGGATCGGTTTAATGGTTTAATGGTTTAGTGGTTTAGTGGTATGGAGCAAAAGGAATGGTTTAATGGTTTAACGGTTTAATGGTTTAATGGTTTAGTGGTTTAGGTGCATTGGGGGAAAGGATTGGTTTAATGGTTTAATGGTTTAGTGGTTTAGTGGTTTAGTGGTATGGGGTAAAGGGATATGTTTAATGGTTTGATGGTTTAGTGGCATGGGGCAAAAGGATTGGTTTAATGGTTTAATGGTTTATTGGTTTGGGTCCTTTGGGGGAAAGGATTGGTTTAACGGTGTACTAATTTAATGGTTTGTTAATGGTTTAATGGTTTAGTGATGGGTCTAGAGCTGCCTACTACGCAGGTGTCCTGGTTATAACCGGGGACAGAGGTTATAACCAGGCGGCAAAATACGTTCAGGGTTTGAAGACTCCCGCCGTGCCCTATAGACCAAATGGATTGGCTTATTGGTTTGATGGTTTAAGTCTTCCGTGTCGTATCGCGCAAGCGAGCCGGTATAATAGTTTAAGTTTAAGTCTCCCCCAAACCCTAGCGCCAAACCCTAAGCAGTAAAACCCAAACAAACCCAACACTTGATGGTGAACCTGCAATATTGGTAAACTGTGTCGAAACACCGGGGGGCTTACATACCAGGGTTGTGGTTTGTAAATTGGGGTGCCTTGATTGTTTGTTGCACACTATAAACCTTACGAAGCAAATCTGTGCCACCGCTACTTCATCAACACCTAGATCCAAACGTTCGAAAGTTTCGGTGTTTCAGGGGGAATGTAACCGCAATGAAATTAAACAAGGACTAGAAGAATAGAGGGTCCGAGGTAATTGGAATGTATTCGGTTGTTGAGGCATGATGCAGTGCTTTGTAACAGACAAAATTCCGGGGACCATATGCGCATTCCCCAACTTTAGCGGAAAGGCTATATGGCGGACTTTACATAATGGTCTGTCCGTTCCAGTACATCGGGTTTATGAGATCTATGTACACATTGAGAGAATAGCCACTAACATGTCACTGACCCAGGAATCAAAATGCGGAATATGAAGGGGCTCTATCGGGATTACAGTAGGTCAGTAAGTGTTGTCAACATTGGAAAATCACGGTACACAGAAAGTTGAGATACGACTGATATGACGTCATTGTAGGGAGAGACAGTATTTCTAAGTTTACAGCGTGGTCAGGTTTCATCACTTCGTACATAGGCGAACTGGTTGCAACGCTATGTTCAAAGACCGTTCCAAGGAAGCAGGATTTCGATGAGACAAAACTGATAAGAATATGTGTGGTGAGCGAAACAAAATTTGCAACTTGCAAACTGTTAAATTTCCTCGCTCGGTACGTAGAAAATTCCTAGCAATGCTACTTCCAACTACATGGATGAACCTCTTTCGAGGAGTGATTCGGTGTGTGTTTACCACTTTTTCTAACACGAGGATCAAGTTCTGGACTGGGAACCATGGCTTCTATTCGACCTTCAGTCAATATTCACAAGAACACAAACAGAAATTCGGACAAGCTAGATGTAGCCTTCTGGTTTTCAGTCGGTCATCACTCAGCATATAGAAACAGTGCCAAGCCTAAGAAGCGACGCTTCATGTCGTCCCCCAGGAAAAACACTGTACAACGTTTGCTAAGCTTGTAGTGTGCAAGTTTTCAATGTTGGCTTGGGGCAGCCGTCATACAGAATTAAGGAATGCACCACTCAAATATACCTACCGGATATACCAATGTTGAAAAGCAATCACATAGGGGCACAGGGATATGTCATTGAAAGCTATCAGTTTGCCAAAACGTGATAGCAATGCGTCCAACAACAGAGACTTTGATGGGATTGTGGCATTACAGTACAAAGATGGAAAGCTTTTCGTTCCAAAATCTAGTTCGCGATAAGGAATGACTGAGCCAGACTAATGACTACAGCGCGCTTGTTGGAAAAAACTGAAATACAGCGGTTTAGATACAGTCACACAAAGATGAACTACGAAGATATATCGACGGCTTCAAGGCAAGGATTTTAGCACATTGTAACGGGGTTTCGACGAGGGTGTCATAGAATTCTTAGCGTTGTGCGGGCTTCAGCATTCTGAAAGCATGGGTTGTTGCAACTTCCCGGGTTAGTCTTCAAACCGGATATAATACTGTAGTCGATGGCGTACACCATTGCCATCGAGCTGCTCCATACAAGCATAATACTATATTCGATAATGTATACCTGATTATAAATTAGTCGACTGGTTATAACCTAGTCGGCTGGTTATAACCTAATCGGCTGGTTATAACCTAGTCTGGTGGTTAGAGCTCAGTCAGATGATGTAGCGAAAAACGTAGGGGACCCCAAATAAGGGTGCGCCCATATATACATACACATGCACATGGATAAACCCCCAGACTGAAGATTCTAAACCTGGAGCCCGAACGAAATGTCACCGGAGAGATTTCCGGTAGGCGAGGGCTTGCAAGGTTTCAGTGAGGAGGAGTTTAGGAAAATTTAGGAGCTACTGTAGCGGTCTTCGAAGGATTCAGGGCTTAGATTCCGGGTTTGAACCTTGGGCGTTTAGGAGTTCAGGGGTTTTAGGGGCTCGGAGTTCGCAGTTTCTGGTTTGACGCCGGAGGCGTCTGGCATAACACAGCACGATCATCAGTGCCCCTCCTCCCCCTCCTCCTCCTATCGGGGCCTTCATAATTGCCTATGCTTTTCTGGGGGTTCCTGATTGTAAATATAGTATCGCGGGCCCCAAAACCCTATTCTAAATATTACTACATTGCTCCTCCTCCTCCTCCTCCTCCTCCAGTCTTCCTCTTCTTTTTGATCGTTTAAACTTCTGACTGCTATGGCAACGTAGGTTTCTAGCGATTCTCGTTCGGTTGGCGGTTTGCCAACGAGGTATAGGTGAGATGTTGCACCACCGCGCACATGCTCGGTGTTCGGGATTCGGGCCCGGTGCTGGGCTAGAAGTCGTAGGCTTCATAGCTGTGGGGGCCTCGTAGACTTTGGCTGCACATCTGCAGGGCTACGCCCTCAACGTGACGAGCTCCGGCGTGGACCTCGCTGCCGCTGCTTGACACTACCAGTCGAAGACTTGAGCACTTTCCAAAACAACCATGGCATCTTACTTTGCACGGCTGCTTAACCGCGAATGCCTAAGCCTTAACAGTCCTAATTTCGGACACTTTGAGCCTGGAACCCCCGGACGAGATCATTCGGGGCTTGCTGGTGTCGGGCTCCCGAGTTCTGCAAGTTCTCCGCTCCTTGCGTACTTTGCTGACCTGGTGCTGGAAAGCTGGCTCGCGAAGTGGAGAGGCTTCTGCCATGTCCGGGCCAAGAAGCCTTTGGGTCCCGGAACCTTTCTAAATTTCAGAATCCCTAAGCCCCAAAACCTTCAGCCCCAAGCCTAAGAAAAGTCCCTAACCCTACACCCTAAACTCTAAACCCTAAACTCTAAGCCCTAGACCCTAAGCTGTAAACTCTAAACCCTAAACCCTAAGAACGTCGACACCCAGGAGACCGAGCATGGCCTCTTCAACGGCCTGATGACTCTTCGGCAGCTGCTCCAGAAGCCCGACTCGGGTATCTGGCAGCTGCCCTTGGTCCCTCGGACGGCCTCCTCGGGTTGTTTTTGCAGACGGGTACATACCTAATATATGTATATAGGTATACAGATATATAATGTCATATGTGTTTCTGTGTATATATGTAACTTATATACGCAGACATGTACATACAGATATATATATATATATATATATATATGTATATATATATATATATACATATTATATATATATATATATATGTATACATACATGTATGTATATGCTCACACCCCCACATATATATATATATATATTACATTTTATGTGTTTATATATAGTTTTGTGGCTTTTTATACAAATATGTGCTAACATGTATATGCGTTTAAAGGTTTCAGTAGGATTTGGGGCTTTAGGGTTCCAACCTGAAACAGGGGGCTGAGTGAGTATGAGTAGGCTGAACTACTACTCATATTCTGAGTGCCCCTGTGGATTTGTTAGCAGGCGATCCCTAAACCCTAAAGCGTTTGCAGGCCAGCTCCCTGATCTTCCAACCTTGCCTTGTCCTGTCGGTAGGTGGCAAAGCTTGGGAGTCGCCCATGATGCTTTCTGAGTGCAGATATGCGTGTGTGCGTGTGTGTGTGTGTGTCTCAAATTCTCTCTCTTTCTCTATATCTATCTATCTATCTCTCTATATATGTATATACACACACACACGTATATGCAAGAAGGTACGATATGAAAATGCTGCTGGAACCTGCCGTGCCAGCATTAGGACGGTTCTTGGTGCCCTTAAAGCTTTTGGCCGGAGAGTCTGCATCTGAGCCCAGGTGAGCATTCGTGACAAGCCTGCCTTGCAGTGGCGGGGGCTTATGCTGGACGTGAGCCGCCACTTCTTCTTCCCCAAGGACTGCCTTTCCCCAAAGCCCTGAAACTTGAACCCTGTTTTCAAGCAATCGCAGATATCCATTCAAAAGGTAGCCCGGAAGGCGCACTTGGGGGTTGCAGTGGGGGCAACCCAGAGACTCCAATATCCCTTAATTAAGGAATATTCCTTAAATTATAGTAGGATCCCTAATATGATTTAAGGAATATTCCTTAATTAAGGGATATTGGAATCTCTGGGAAGCGGGCTGCAATTGAGCTCGTTCTCGTTGCAAGCATCAGACTCCCGTCTGTGTCAGCACCAGGAGGTGAAGCACTTGCTCAGGACCATGGCGCTGCCTATTGCCGGAAGTTTTTGGTGTTTGGAGTTTTGGGGGCTATGCTCATGTGGTCGGCATTGGTTTTGGAGCGGGCGGGGTCAGAGGTTTACGGTTGCAGGGTTGAGGTGGGAGCTTCTGAAAATAGGGGACCCTGATATACTACCCTAAATAGTAGGATCCTTATTCTACGGACCCCAAAATAAGGTACCCCTAATATTCGGAAACCCTAAACCCTAAACCCTTTATAGAACCCTTATAGATCCTATTAAGGAGCCCTGAAAGGATCCCTTTAAAGGTATCCCTAATTTTCGGAAACTCCCGTGTATACAACGTCCCTCCTGCTCCGGGGCTTCGAGTCTCGAATGTGTCTTCGCTCCCGAGTCCTCAGCCCTAAACCGGAAACCGCCTTGCCTAATATAGGGGCCTTCAGAATGACCTATACTATTCTGGGGGTTCCTTGTCAGAATTCTAGTATAAGGGGCCCCAAAACCCTATTCTAATTATTACGGCCCCTATATTAGCATCTTCTAGCAGTGAGGTAGTACTGTAGAGTCCAGCCTAGCCAGGTACTGCACTGCGCGACTCAGCGTTTTTATGTAACGAAAGTTAATGCTTAACAGAGTTTTGCAGAATGAATGTCTTGTACCATGCCAGCATAGAACAAGCAGCATTTAGTAGACCGCTGTAGTAGCGAGCCTGGGCAGACACTCAAGAGTACAGAAGAGATAAACAACATCTTTTTGCAAGATTCTTCTTGCAACATCCAATCTAAACGGTCACCCCGTGCGGACCCATAGCCTAAAGACGCGAGTTCCTAATCAGGTTTAAGATGAACCACTTCCACTGGCACCTGACCGATGACCAGGGCTGGCGTTTCCCGGTGGAGAAGCCGCTTTGCTGGTTATCCTTGCATCGATCGGCATGCTTGATGTGATTGCCGTCGCTATGACTGTTGAATTATCATTGAGATCGTCGCAATTGTCCTTGGTGGTGCGCGCTTTCCCTGTTAAGAAAATCACGATGGCGATGAACGTAAGGAATCTCAGGATGTCATCCTTGAGTTTCTGCGTGCTGACTTTATCATCCTGCCCGCGTTGATGTCGCATTAGGCATAGCCAACACCACATCACGACAGCCATGTCTCGAACTGTGAGGACGTCGAACCGTTCGTGCAACACGCCGAACTCCGAGCTCTGATCCCAGGTATCCCAAGCTCATTTCCCTCGGAGCGGCACGCCGTGCGACGCCGAAGGCACAGGGGATATCTCAGTGCTCCTATTTTTTTGGCCCAGCCCTGCAGCCCTTCTATCTATCTATCTGTTTGTACATACAGTATACATATATATATATATATATATGTATGTGTGTATGTATATATACACATACATACACATGAAAATAACTGGAAAAATGTCAACCCTCAACCCGAGCCTTAGCCCTAAGCCACAGAGTCCTGTCTCTGCTCCACAAGCTCGGGGCCAGGGCCACACCCCCCGGTTGGACGGCCAGCCCTACAACCACTCCTACACAGTGGAGGACGACTCGTGGGCCTGTCGTGTTGCAACTGTCGAATCCTGTGACATCAAACACAAATACGTAGCATGAGGGATCCCTAAAGGATAACTGGTGTCGCTGCACACAGGACACGACAGCAAGGTGGAGCGTCTGAAGAATCAGCAGCATACCAAAGACTCGACAAGAAGGTGGAGGGTCTGAAGAAGTAGTAGTATGTACACCGTTTTAGTCGCTATACAATCATAGTATAATGCAGCCCAAAGCCCTATTCTGATCATTCGGGCCGCCATGGTTGTCCAAGCTCTCGGGCCAAAGGCCCAAGACACCAAGAAGCCCTTGGACGACAGACCCTGAAGCCCTAAACCCCAAATCCTACATCCTGAAGCTCTAAACCCGAAACCTTGAAGCCCTAAACCCCAAACCGTAAACCCGGAAGCCCTAAACCCTTTAGCCCGCACCCCAAACCAAACTTGAAAATCGGCTATGCAGGGTCTACATCGTCAGGAGATCTGAGATCCTGTAAGGACCGCCATGTCCGACCTCTTGTCCCAAAATTGCGTTTCTAAGTCTTCCAAAGACCCGCTGGAAAGCAGCATACAGCCTTAAAGCCCTTTTAGTTTTAGAACAAACTTAAACCTTAAGGCTTAAACCCCAAACTCTGAACCCTGAGCCCACACTTAGCTTAAACCCATCTTGAGAGGAGATTGAGGACATCCTCAGTCTCGCAGAGTCTCTGCACATCGAGGCGGAAGACGTGAGCTGAATGCCTTAAGAGTTTGAAAACGTACGTTTATGATGGTTAGAATAGGGTTTTCATGCCTTGGCAGCCGAAATGGGGTGTTGGAAATTGGAGTTTGTTTTTATAGGGACTATAAGAGGGTAGTACTACGATGTGATTCAGTACAAGCGGCCTTCCTGGAACCGAGCAGCAACGGCCGCATCTTAGTGCCAGGAACTGCAGGAAGGGAGAAAGGACGATGACGGTGAAGATGGTGATAGCCCTTGCAATCTAAGCCCCCTGCCCGGAGCATCCCGTGGGTTTCCCCATAGCAGCCATAGCACTCATCCACTTATCCAGAGCCCCGGAAACCCACCCTACACCCCAGCCCCTAAACCCTAAACCCTGGAAACGTACCTTAAACCCTAAACTCCTCTCTTGGAAGGTCATGCCCGAGTTCGACCTTCCCGGTCACAACCAGGCAGAGCCGGCCCCGGGGGGGTTGCAAGACTTCTTACAGGATCATGGGACTTAGTAACTAGAGTTATTATTGGGTTAACTATACTTATAAATACTTATAACCCCAGTTAAGGGACTTATAACTATAGTTACTAAGTCCCATGATCCTCCAAGTTGGGGCCTCAGGTTTCGGTCTCGACCTCCAGCTGAGGCTTCGGGGCTGTTTACACCCCTAGAGGCCCCCCAGTCTCTGAACTTTAAACGCTACCTAAAAAGACGAAACCCCCGAAGCCCACAAACAGGAGTTTGAAAGTATAGCCCAGTTGCTGGAAGAGATCTTAGATCTTCTCCGAAAGTGGTCTGAATATACCCGAAGGCCTTATTCTAACGATCGGGGGCCCTTATGTTCGACCAGAAGCCCGTGAAATTCCTCGACACTGCAGTCTGGAAATTCCAAGAGGATATTGTCAAATTCCGCTTCAAGGTGGTTTTCGGGTATCGGAATTTAGGGCTTGGGAGTGTTTTTGGGATGAGTTCGGGGTCCCCTTACTCAAAGAGTACTACTGCAAGGGCAGGGCCTAAGGCCTCTAGATTGGCTACACTACGGGCTACTGTAAGGGTTACCACGAGGGCATCATCTTAAGGACAGGATTTTTGATTTTTTTCTTGCGTGGCGGTTGCCTCAAGGCGGCGATTGCTTCGTACCCTGAGATGGGCATCCCGGCCTTATGAAGTGGGATCCGGAGGTCACCCTAAGAATATATGGGGTTTACCGCAGGAGGGTTTCAGGGCTATCCGGAGTTTCTGATTCAGACCTTCGTGTCACCCCCAAAAAGCTCCATTCGGTCACCTGAAGGACGGCTTGGAGCAGGAGCTTTGTGACTACATCTTTCTTCCCAAACCCCCCCTCCAGAGCGTGCGGGCTGACGATCTAAATGTGAGAGTTATGCCCGACGCTCCAGAGGGGGGAGGGGGCTCCTGCCCTAAAAAAGCTGTCTAAACCCTAAACCCGAAAACTTGGGAAGTACTGTAGGAACCCATGTTTCCGCTTTCTCTCAGGAAACGCGGATGCAGCGGCCAAGTGGGACCCACAGGTGGCTACGCAGCCTCCCGGCCCGGCTTGAGTAGCAGGGATCTGAAGGATGTTAAGGGCGCTTAAAGGGATGTACCGGGTTGAATTCGAGTTATCAGAAAGGTTTGTAGGGTTGTATCATGTTGGTTGGATTTACGAGGGTTTTTTGGGGGGGTCTTTTAAGAGGTTTATGAGCCAAGTATCAATGCCACCCAAAATGCTGAGGGGTCCCTGTATTAGTATTAGGGAGATTTTGAGACGCCCTAGACAAAGTAGGTTCTAGGAGGCTTCCAACTCGGTTTTGTTTTTGTTTCTCGTTTTTTTCTTCAGGTTTGGTGCCTTGCAGTACACGCTGAATCCCACGGATCGAGCCGTGAACTTCACCAAGGCTCCGGCGTGTCGCTCCTCCGTGAAGCCCAAGTCCTGAATCCCTACCCTGAAACCACAGGGCCTGTGAGATAGTCTGAGCCTTCACGTGAGTTTCAGAGAACCAGGGGCCCCAAGCAAAGACCGCTGTCGAAAGGTGTGATCAAGGCATCCCTGATATTGAGAAGACCCCTCATGTCTCTTCAACAACACATCTTACCGTGATGGGTAGAGGAGTGCATGGCAGAGAACACCTAGACCTAGACCTATACGTAACCGTATGTGCAAGTATCAGTTTTAGTGTAAGTGCAAGTATACCTAAAAAGAGTATATACAAGAATCAGTGAACGTACAATTAAGTCAATAGCAACCCACAAAACGTATATACACACCTTTAGCTAGTGTATACATGACTCAATATGTATACAACTGGATGTGTGTAGGTCTTTACTCCTATATGCATACATGGATTGCCAGCATTGCATCCCAAGCCCAGCAACCCTGCACAGGACATCCTCAGCGAACTTGTGCGGCTTTTTCCTGCAACACCCTATGCCGCCTGGCGTTCCTATGGAGTTCCGGAGGCTCAAGTCCATCCTGGACAATCGTCGTACGATGTCAACATCCAGAAACGACTGTAGCATGGCGGAGACTATTCCATCGCACGTAGTGAAGCGTCTAGAACCCGTGACTAGTGAAAATGTCTCAGCGGAAACGCTAAACCCTTAACCCGAAATAAGGTGCACATCGGTGGCGATGAAGTTCCCACGGACCAGTGGGCAAGGTGCGCCGGGGACGACTCCGTAACGTAAGATGATGATTGTCAGCACTCTGGGAATGCTTGTATGTATATGGAGCCAGTGACCTCCCCAAACCTCTCCGATTGGCCGGTTCTCCCAACATGATTTCTCAGATTCGAGTATTGGTTTACCCTACACCCTAAACCCTAACTTCTGAACCCTAAACCTCTCAACCCATTCACCCGAAACCCAAAGTTGTAAGCGCTGGTCTCGCTGCAAGGCTGAGTTTCTTTTCGGGCCTGGGGTTCAGAGCCTGACGTAGGGATCTGAATGATACGGAACAGTGTCTCCCTCATAGTCCCGGTGAATTTGTGAAAGCTGAGGGGTGACAAGAGAGAGAGAGAGAGAGAGAGCGAGAGATGCATACATACATACATACTTACGTACGTACATACATACATATCCATATACATATACATGTACATATACATATACATATACATATATATATATATATGTATATGTATATGTATAGTATATGTACATGTATATGTATATGTATATGTATATGTATATGTACATGTATATGTATATGGATATGTACATGTATATATGTATATATATATATATATGTATATTTATATGTGTATGTATATACATATATATATATATATGTATGTACGTATGTATGTATGTATGTATGCATGTAGGCAGGTAGGTATGTATGTATGTATGTATACAGACATCTCTCTCTCTCTCTCTCTATTTTTTTATATATGTATACTGTATATGTATGTGTATGTGTATATGTATATGTATATGTATGTTTCATGTGTCTTTAAGTACGCATGCACATATACATACGTACTTACACACGTACATAGATAGATAGGTAGATAGATAGATAAGTACATACATACATACATATATACGCAGAGTGGCTTGGCTCGACAAGTTATGTGAGATGTCGTAGCAGGGATGGATTTATCTCGATCATTGGTTGCATGTTCAAGATGATGTACCTGCCACTTGCAGGTCACCTGCTGCCAAGGCCGACGATTTGCATCCGTACGGGCTTTGCTGGATTGTGTAAGTGCGACCTTTGACAGCTTGGACTCGTGCCCTGCTTGTGCCCGTAGCTTTTCAGGAGATTTCGATTGTTTTCCTTAATTAGTTTCCTGAAGGAGGTGGCGGCGGAGAAGCACCTCTCTCTGAGACAGCTGGAGGGCTTGATGCTCGGGGAGGCCCGGAAGCAATCTCTGCCTCGCCCCGCTCCCGGTCGCTCCCGTATGTATGTATGTATGTATGTATGTATGTATGTATGTATGTATGATGTATGTATGCATCATGTGTGTGGACTTATACGTGTCACTATATGTATTTGTGTATATATGTATGTACAAATCTGTTTACAGTTTCCATACACAAAACATCCAGTTTATGTCCTTGCTCGTCGATGTATACAAAGTTTGTTGGGCTTGAGCGCTTCGTGCAAAGACAGCGCAGCGTTCCCCGGGGGAGCTCGAGACTGCGAGCTGGAGCGGGCAAACCCCGAAGAGCCGCTAATCTAATAGACTGTAACTTGATGTAATACAGTAATATACAGTACACTGCATGCATATATGTGCATATATACATATATGTGTGTTAGAAGACTATGTCACAACCCAGTATAGTAGAACATGACATAACGAAATATATTATAATACAACGGACCCCTGCCAGGCAGCGCACCACCTGCAATCTTTGCACCGCAAGGCGGTCGTCTGGGACGAGGCGCCGGAACCGGAGAAGGGAACAATATCGCACTGATATAGAGGGTATGGTATGGCTACCGTTCGAAATCTTATTGGCTGTTCACTTAACTTTCCAACTTTTGGGGTTCTGTTGAGGTAGGCGTTTCTGAAAGTTTAGAACCCGGACCTGTAAATCCGAAACCTGAAACCCTAAACCGTTAAAACCCTAGACCCTCGAAGACGGAGCCTTAAACCCCAAACTCGAAGCCTATCCGGGAAGCGTAATCCCTTTTTGGGTCCTTATTATACTACGGCACCTAATATTTAGGGTACCCAAAAAGGGAACCCTAAACCCGAAACCCTAAACCCTAAACCCTAAACCCGAAACCCTAAACCCTAAACCCGAAACCCGAAACCCTAACCCCTACACCCTAAACCCGAAACCCGAAACCCTAAGCCCGAAACCCGAAACCTTTTTTTTTTTAACCGAAACTTTTTTTTTAACCCGAAACCCTAGCCTAGCCCCTGGGGGAGCCATCTTACAGGCGCTCGAGTCCGGAGGCGACTTGCCCAAGGATTCCGTGGCCCCCCGGCTTATAAAAAGAGACTCCGATATCTCCCTTAGTTAAGGGATCCTAGGGTTCCTTTAAAGGGATCTATAGGGTTTAGGGTAATTTAAGGTATATCCCTTAATTGAGGAATATACAGTGAATTGTAGTAGGACCCCGAATATGATTTAAGGTATACTCCTCAATAAAGGGATATTGGAGTCTCTGAGTATGAAGGTTCCTGGTATGCTTGGGGTTTCGGGTTAAGGGTTTCGGTTTATCGCGGTACTCGTATTCGTACTAATTGTGTGGGGTCGTCGTCGTCGTCGTCGTCTTTCTTTGGGTTCTTGATGGTAGTGTTTGTTGTTTGATCTTTGGGTCTGGTTTCGGTACCTGCTAGCTGCTAGTAAACTGCTAGTACTCTTCTGCTGCTGTGCATCTCCGCGCGCACAGTGCTGTGGTTGCAGTTGCTTAAGATGGGTCTTTGTGCTGCTACTGCTTGACCGGACTTCCCAAAAAAGCCTTAATCCAAAGGTTAAGGCCACTACAGTAAGCTCCGGATGCCCACCTCTAATATAGGGGCCCTAATAAGTAGAATAGGGTTTTGGGGCCCATTATACCATAATCACAATAAGGAACCACCAAAACAGTCTCGGTAATCATTTACGCTCCTATATTAGGCCATGTGCCTGAGCTTCATGCCTGGAGCCGGTCACCCTCACTCTCCCCTCCAGAAACCCTGCGACAGCCCGGATCGAGGCCTGAAAGTGCTCTAAACCCCAAACCCGGGCCCTAAATCCGGAACCCCCAGACGCCACTTATATAAAGCATAGGACTGAAATGGGAGTTTCCGAAAGTTAGGGGGGTACCTTTTTGGGGGTCCTTTATAATAAGGATCCAGCAATCCTACTATTTAGGGTACTATCTAAGAGTCCCCTCTTTTCGGAAGCTCCCAACTCAACCCTAAACCCTAAACCCTAAACCCCAGGTGATGATTTGGAGGTCCTGGTTGGGCTTGGACAAGGTCGGAGAGCGAGCTGCGCAGCGAGGACTGCCTCTTCAGAAAGGGCTACAGTAAACTCCATAAAGTTGGAAACCAGCTTAAGGCCAAATAGTGCTGGGATTCCCTACACATTACTCTTAAGGATTGCGGCTATGGGGTTTCCAATTTTTGGGCTTCTCCTGTAGGGTTCAGGTGTGTAGGGCTTTGGGATGCTATGGGTTTAGGGTGGGGGGGGATTGCTTGCCAGTAAGCCCTCAACCTTATACTGAGGGGTTTCGGAAAGTTAGACGGTGAGACCGGGCCGATGTTTGGAATGCAGCAGTCGGGGCAGATCCTGCTGAGTGCTATCGCGCCTGAGTCTCGCAACCTTCAGCTCCAAGTTTAGAAGAAAGCCCTACACACCTGAACCCTACTTAAAGGATCATGGGACGTAGTAACTACGGTTATTCTTGGGGTCGCTATACTTAAAGTTACTTATAACCCCAATTAAGGGACTTATAACTATAGTTTCTAAGTCCCATGATCCTCCAAGTAGGTAGACGAAAGCCGGAGGCCATTCTGTGGTCTTGGCTCCACAGACCTGGACATACCTCGCGACTCGGCTGTGTGGTTGATTGCTTCAGGCCCGTGAGTCGCGTAGACATGACATGATTCTCCTGAGAGGGGTTGTAGCAACACTAGAAGTGACCGTGAGATGAGCATGAGCAAGAGCAGAAACAGTTACACCAGCACTCACTAGGAATTTTGGAAGTGGTTGTTGTGGTAGTAGGAGTCGTCATCGTCAGTGTGGACATGGTGGTGATGACGAGGGTGGTCGCGGCAGTGGCAATGGCAGAAGCTGTACGAGTAAGGGGAGATTGCTGATCCGTTAACACTGTTGGAACAACGATGGCAAATACTGTATTGCAGTACTGATAGTCATCCGAGGATAATTAAGAACATCGATGAAAATGTAGTACCAAGGGCCAGTCTAGCGACTCAGGATCAGTGGCAGGACACCTCCAAAAAGCAGCCGCTCCGCCGTGCAAGATCAAGTTTTGGGTGTGTGTGCGGCTTTCAGGTCAGTTTGTGGTTAGGTTAGTGGAGGCGCTTCGCAGTCAAGGATCCGGACCTTGCACAGGCGTTGAAACCACATATCCCTGAGCCCCCCCAGCAGTAGCAGACCTTTCTACTCGTTGCCATCTCTGCCCATTCAGGGCTGTTGTTGCTCTAGGTTCCTCTCATTCTGACCCCAGCCACTGGGAAGGTTCGATGCGATTGGAGGCTACTTGCCACTGTCAAAGGCCGGCTGGGCTCACCGAGACGGCATCTTCTGGGGGGGATGTTTTGGAATGGCTTTTGGGTGTAGTCGCGCAGCGGGTTTTGAGGAATTGAGACGATCGCTTCAAATCGCTTCCGTTCAGCTCAATCCGACCCGGAAGGTCTACAGCGTTCCCACCACCGCCGGAAGTGCCAAAGTGCGACTTGGACCGCAGTCCTGAATTCTAAATGTAACGACAATGCCGATACTCAGAGATTTGGAGAAGAGAAACGCAGTCTTAAAACCGTAGACCTTGCCCAAGCCACTAGCAGCCTTAGAGCAAACCGTTTTGGCCCATCAAGCGGATTTCTGTGAGTAATATAGGGGTGAGCACGGTTTTGGGCCCATCATACTATAACTATAATAAGGACCCCCAAGATAGTATAGGTGATTATGAAGGCCCCTACATCATCTCTTTTAACGAAACCTTGCAAACCTTTTCCACCCTGAGCACCAAAGAATGCACTGAAGCCCTTGAAAGCGAACGTATATCTCCTGTTAACTCTACAACCAAAACCGAAACCCTAAGGCCTGAACTTAAGACCTAAACCCTAGCTTCTGCTTCACTTTTCCCAATGCTTCACCGACTATGGGCCTTCTAAAGGCTGGCGTGCTTTGGAGAAAAGTCCGTCAGCATCGGTTAAAACAAAAACTACAACCCTGCACCCCAAGCCCTATACCCTCAACCCTAGACTCTAGTCCCTAAACCCTAGACCCTAAACCCTAAACCCTAAACCATAAACCCTAAACCCTAAACCCTAAACCCCTAAACCATACACCTTGCACCCTGGGCCTGAACCCGAGTCTTGTCCTTGGTTTGCTGGTCTCCAGGCTGGGTCTGCAAGGCCAGCTCTGGAGCGAGTGCCCCGGAGGCACTTTAACTAGGATGCCCAGTAGTACCCTTATTCCCTTTTTGTAGTCCTAGGTTCCTTCTAAAGTTACCCAATACCAAAAAGAGAGGCCTTTTTATTCTTAGGTTACTGGGTATCCTAGTCCTAGTTAAAGGCTTTCAGGCTGCCCTCTTCTCTTCGAGGGGTCTCTTTGGGGGGAGGGGGGGGAGGGGCGGGGGGCTGCCTTCAAACAAGCAGTGACTAGGGGGGAGGAAGGAGTGGTAACTAGGGGTGGTTTGTTAGTGTTTGCTTTTCAGGGCCGCATCTCTGGGATGAACCCTGAAGCTTCTCACAACCCGTTTCAACCCGGCCCCTCAACAACCCTCAAACGGCTCTAAACCCCTCATACAACCTTGATGAACCCCTTTAATAGACCCAAAAAATCTTGTATAGCAGCCTTCGTGCCGTAGCAACTTACAGTATCTGTAATGAAAGCCCAGGTACATCCGCGAGGGGGAGAAGAACTTGGACTTTATGGCCTGGCCCAGGGGCTGCGCATTGGCCGAGGTCACACCGGGGGTGCTTCTTGATATTTTTGGTTGGTTGTGGGGTTTTGGGTTTGGGACTTTGAGGGCTTTGAGGGCTTTAGGGCTTGGGCTTGGGGGTATTATTAGGCCGTTACCAGGGGTGCAAAGAATTGTTATGAGGGGTTGGGTAGGGTGCGTCAGGGGCCCCAAAAGAGGTCCACAGGACCCAGGGCTTGAGGATGCTTAAGGCTTGTTTGGGTTTAGGGTTCCAGGCTTGGGGATTTGCTTCAGGGTTTGGGGCTAGGGGCCAGGGTTTGGTAAGGTTCAGGGCTCAAGGATTGTTTCCTCCTGCCGCGACTCTTTACATACTGGCGTGAATGTTTACTGAAAACATGTATCTGACTGACCTTTACATGCATTATGTCCCGTCACATTTTTACCGTTCATGATTACCCATTAGTGCTTCTAAGAGTTCTAGCATTCTTCTGATCGCTGTTGTCATCAGTCTTGCCAAAACTGCTAGCCTTTCGTATTGTCTTTTCCCATTAGTTCTTATTCGCTTTTTACTCAGAGACCGGGAGGTTTCGGGTTTCTTGACTTTTCGGGTCTGGGATCCCGGTAACACGAGACTTGAAAGCAACATCCTACACCTGGCTCGGATTCCCCTTCAAAATCCGAAACCCTTGTTCCAAAGCCCTCAACCTTAAAACGCTCAACCACTCCAAAGCGTCAAGTCCCTGTACCTTAAAAAAGTCGCTAGAGTCCCTAAACCAAAACCTAAACCCTAAACCCTAAACCCTAAGCCCTGAATTCTGGGACTTGAAAGGCTGGTTGGCTGGGGGAGGCGAGGCCCAGCTTCAATGCGCCCTGGCAACATCGATGTGGGTGGTTGTCAAAATTGTGGTTCCTTTTTGGGTACCCTAAACATTAGGTGCCGTACTATATTAGGGACCCCAAAAGGGACCATCATTTTGACAACCATGTTCTGACACCGGGGTTCAGGTTCCTTCGGTTGGGGTCTCAGGGTTTATGCCGAGGGTTCGGAGATCTTTGCATCGCGGTCTTGCTGTTGCTGCTGTAGCGGCGGCGGTTGCTGTCTAAACCCTACTGCAAACCCTCGTAGCTGTTGGTGATGGTTGGTTCGTTGCTTTCTTGGTTTCGGCTGTGCTTTTCGACCTCGGCTCTCACTGCGGCAAAAGGGCAATAAAGGGCCAACTGGTCAGGAATTGCATTATTGAATTCCATTTGGGGTTGTCTAGCGTACCCTGAGCCCTAACCCCCTGAACCCTAAGCAGATGCTGCATTTGGGAGGACTTCCGCTATCGCCTGCAGAAGCGGGCGAAGGACAGCTGGAGTTCCTCCGGAGCCTGAATGACGTTGAATGTTGTCGGCAAGTACAGGCAATATAAGGGTCGGAACGATTCAGGGCTCCTCTCAGGGATCCTCTACAGGTTCCTTTATGGCCTCTCTTGGGGGGTTTCTGTTTCTCTAAGGGTTCCTTCATGGTATAAATAAGGGCTCCTCTAAGTGAGGCAACTGTGCATCGCTCTCAAAGCACCGAAGGACTTCGAGGCCTTCGCGGTGAACCTGGGGCAAATCTGAATCCGGAAGTGCCCTCACTCCAAGCCGGCAGGAGCTTGGGTAGTGTCTCATCAGAGATCTGTGTGGCTTTCCGGTTTTTCAGGCTTGTCTGTTGAGGTTTTTTTGGGTTTAGGGTGCAGGGCTTGCTTTTCTGTGTCAATGAGGGGCTTCCAGCTTTCGATTTGCGGGGCAGCAGCGCCCAGAGTTTCACCCCTCGGCAAAGTGCCTGCGAGACAAAGGGAACCCGGGTGTCGCGCGAGTCGATTCCCGAACCACGCACTCCGACCTTGAACCGATAAGCGACGAAACTCAAGCCGCACAAACCGAAAACCCTGAACCTCTGACGCCCCAAAGTCCTCGAACCCTAGCCCTGGAACATAAAAGCCTAAAGCCATAGAAAGCCTGAGCTCGAAAAGCCCTAAGCCCCAAAGAGTGAAGTCCTTCTGGAACATATGGGAGTTTCCGAGAATTACGGGTTACCTTATTTTGGGGTCCTTAAAGAAGGATCCTAGACTATTTAGGGTACCATATTACGGCATTAGGGTCCCCCATTTTCGGAAATGAGCCCGAAGCTACCTGACCATAACTGCGTTTCATCTCACCTCGCGCAGGTCACCGTCAGCGCGTCCTTCACGTTGATGTACAACCTGAACCACAGGCAGCTCCAGGGCCCTTTGGGTCTAGGGTTTAGGGTGTAGGGCCCTGAACCCTAAGCCCTAAACCGTATACCCTAAACCTCAGGCTCTGAGGCGTTTGGGTTTGGGCTTCAACATGTTTGGGGTGTGGCGGTTGGGGGAAGCTGCGGGGGCCGAGTCGTCCATTCCTCAGCGCGTGTACTGGGTTTCGAGTTCACGTTGAGTATCTTGCAACAAGGAGTACCTGGCACAAAGCTTTCCCGGCAAATTTCACGCCCCAGCCTATTCAGGAGAAGGAGGTCTGTCTCGGTCTTCTTCGCGACTCAGCATTTCTGGGAGCTCTTTCCTGTCCTTCCCGCGTCCGTGTTAAGCTGCGTTCGCTATGTCCCGCTGTTTCTATCGTATAGTTCTGCTTAATACCATTCACATTGAGACTTACATTACATATACTTACAATTCTCCTCTACGCTGCTACCATATACCATGTCCCATACTACCATACTTCCATATTACTATACTGCCGTACTACCTCCTGTACTAGTTACTATACTACCAAACTACCATACTACTATGCTTCTCTGCTGCGATAAGTTTGCCTCTCTTTTCATCTTCCGGTGCCTTGGGCCTTGGGCCAGGCGTAGTCGCCTCACGAAGCCCAACGGCTCACAGCTGTGGATGATGATGCCCGGGGCCTGATTTAGGGGCCTTAAGAATGACCGATACTATTTTGGGGGCCTCCTTATCATAATTGTAACATAATGGGCCCCAACACCCTGATTATTAAGGCCCCTATACTAGCCATCGCTTTCTGGGTTTTTCTCTGGGATTTGCCTTTGGGTTCGATTCTTTGGGTTCCTGAAGGCAGACGGGTCCCAGGGTAGCTCTTCGGGGAAGCAAGTGCAGCAGTTGAGGATGCGCGTTTAAACGTGAAGTTAAGGGGGGTGAGTTCGCTTTGAGGTTCGAAGCTGGGAGTTGAGGGTTTTGATACTTTGGGCTTGGTGGCTTTGTCAGCTTCGCTGCAGCAAGCACGGCACCGAAAACTCATACTGAGATTGAAGCTTCCATACAGAGCCCCGCGAATCACCGTCCGCACTTCACAAGGCGCGAGAAGCTCAAACCTCGGTAGCTCCAGCATTCCCTTTCTTCCTCGATCGCCCCGGAGAGCCAATTTAAAACTTCGAGGAGCCCCTCAGCTCTAAACCCTAAACCCTGCCTATGCTTGACCACCCTCAGGTTTTGCCCGTGCTGCGTCGGCCACCTCTACCGGAGGCTCGTGAGTAGCATAGGGGTCTTACGAATCAATCGTAGCATTTCCTTCCAGTCACTGCATAAGTATAGTCAGTTATACAGTAGGGGAATATACACCCCAATTCCTATTCGTCATGCTCAACAGAATGCAAAACAGCCAGCCGCATGTGAAGTGGGAAATTCCGAAAGTAAGCTTTAAAATTTGTTACTGATAATACCTTCTTGGTAACCTCTATCTATAGTAGTATGATACCCAGCAAGAAACTTTCAACCCTAAACCCTCAGCGCAAAAAAGCTTAACCCTAAACGCTGAAGAGAATAAACCCTACAAAAACGCCCTAAACCCTGAACCCCAACGGTGGAGGTTCCATCGCCTTCCTCTCTCCGACGACAGCTCGTCCGAGAGCAGTGAGTGAGGGACTGGGTTCTGGTCCGCGTACTTCATGGTTTCGGGTTTGGGGTTCCGGAATTGGGTCCTCTAGAACCCATCAGCCCCAAAGCCCTCAGCCCTCAGCTCTGAACCAAAAATAGAACCCATCAGCCCTAAACCCCCCCGAACCCTCACCTCTGAGCCCATGCTCTTCGGACTCTTCGGGTGATCCAGAACCCAGAGGATGCGGGCGGCGGAATAATTCGCGTAATTCGAAGCCCCCGGGGCCCGATTGAGGAGAGCTTTTGAAAGCTCCTTTGCTTGAGCCCGAGACCCCCAAAAAATCATATGGGCTTTGATAGGATCTTTCTGGCATTCTTTAAATTAGGGTTCTAAGAGGCTTTAGATGGTTTTAAGAAGATTAAAAGCTGACTTTGTTCGAGTTTAAAAGGATTAGTGTAGGATGTTTATGTGGTTCAATCGGTTTTGATTGGGGTGCAATTTCCATCGGCACGTTGGAAGTAGCGAGGGTTTCAAAAAGATAAAAAATCTGAACCATTGTTTGTTGTGGGTAGTTGTAGGCATGTTTGCATTTCGTCGGTTTCTAGCGGGGTTTCTAACCACGTCCTTTAGTCTCTAGTGTCGCTCGTCAGTGTCTTATTGTCAGTCTTGGTGTGGTTGTAGAGGGTATCGTATCAGGTTTAATACCAGGCAGTCTTTCGCACCACTTGGTAACATGAGCTATGTTGATATGCGATGTGTCGATGCGGAATGCTACTTAAACCCACGTGAGCATCCACAAGTGCTGCTTCTACTGTTATTGCAACGGCAAGCATATCAACCACTCCAAAGACTGCTACTGCTGCTACTGCTGCTACTGCTACTACTACTACTACTACTACTACTACTACTACGACTACGACTACTACTACTACTACTACTACTACTACTACTACTACTAGTACTACTACTTCTACCAGCACCACGACGACGACGACTACTACTACTGCTGCTACTACTACTACTACTACCACTACTACTATTACTACTACTTCTACTAGTACTACTGCTACTACCACTACTACTACTACTACTACTACTGCTACTACTAGTACTTACTACTGCTACTGCTACTGCTACTGCTACTACTACTACTACTGCTACTACTACTACTACTACTACTACCACTACTACTTCTGCCACTACCACTACCACTACCACTACCGCTACCACTACCACAACCACTACCACTACGACTACCACTGCCACTGCCGCTACCACTGCCACTACCACTCGCACTACCACTACTACTGCTGCTGCTGCTGCTACTACTGCTACTACTGCTACTACTACTACTGCCGCTGCTTACGCCTACTACTGCTGCTGCTGCTACTACTACTACGACTGCTGCTGCTGCTTTACAGCAGCAGTAACAAACTACTATGAGACACCACGTCGCGACAGTTTTGTGAGTAAAGACTCCCAAAATCTAGTAAGCACAGTCGCGAGCGCACAGTCGTGAGTCATAAGAGCGACAGGAATACGGTTTTTGTGTCAACAGTACAAAATCTGCACCGTAAAGGAACGAGGCGAGAACAGGCCATAGAAAATAGCCATTATTCAGAAACGTGGTTCGGGCAGTGGTTTGATACTAGTGCAAGTGGTAGTGTTGTAAGAAGGATGCAGCACCACTGTGCACGATAGTATCAGTGAACATACTACTGCCAATGGCTGGAATCAAAAATATTCACCATCTCACCAATCAGCATGTTGCGAGCCTCCTCCGCCCTCAGCTCTAAACTCACCCCTCAGCCATCAAATGAAAACGCAAAACCTAAACCTCAAGCCTTGATCTTGTTCCGTGGCCCTAGGCCCCAGACCCTAATTCTTATGCCCAGCGAGCCCGGATACGTCATCCCTCCAAAATGACAGCGGTAAAGTCCTAAGCCCTCGCCCTAAAATCCCGCGCAATGGGATCCTCGGGAGCCAGGGGAGGCGGACCGACGAGGAAGGGCGAAGGCTACAAAAAGCGGCCAAAGAGGAACAACTTACCTTTGGTTAGTAGGGAATGGAGGAATCGGGTACAATTATAACCACTATTACCACCATTCTTACATTCCCTACTAACCAAAGGTAAGACAAAGGCATGTCTGCAAGCAGAGAACATACAGACATGCCTACCTACAGACAGACATACATAGATAAAGACATAGACATGTCTGTATATTCTAAGATACATATACATAATGCATATACATACACATACATGTATGCAAGTATAAACATATTACAGATACATACCCGTACATGCATACATATATATATATATATATATATATATATATATATATATATACACACATGCACATGCACATGCACATGCACATGCACATGCACATGCACATGCACATGCACCTGCACCTGCACCTGCACCTGCACATGCACATGCACGTGCACATGCACATGCACATGTATATATACACACATACACATACGTATACAAATATATGCATATATACATGTATACATATATACATGTATACATATATGCACCCAAATCGTGGGGTTGGGTTTGGGGTTGATAAGCAGTTTGCCAGGGAGTCGGCTCTGTCTTTGAGGCCCTCGAGGTATGGGCTGGAGCTCGGAGAAGAAATTGAAGAATCGCGCACACACACACACACACACACATCCACATGCCCTTACCTGAAGGTTAGTAGTCGTCATCGTCGGCGTCGTCGTCGCCGCAGCACAGCAGTGATGGTGGTGCT